CCCATTCGGAGAGGAGGGCTCTCGGCGTCTCCGCTGCTCCGGCCTGCAGGGTCCCCCTTCCTTTCCTTTCCCTCCTCATCTCCAAACTTCCAAGTCGATCCAACTTTTGCTTCCTCCAACTACCAACCCCCCAACGCGCGGGCGCGCGCCGCCGACTTTCTTTCCCATTCCTTTCCTTGGAAGAACTTTCCTGCCGGGGCCCACCCCCACCCCTCCCCTGTTCCCCTGGGCTCTGAGCTCAGCTCTGGAACCGGTCAGGAGCCTGATAAATATTTGGACTCCGCTCAGACCCCGCGCTGTCCTGGTTTCTTGTCATGTGCGAGAATTTGTTGTTTCTTCGACTTTACAGTTCGCAGGCGCTCTCCCGCCCGCGCTCGCCGGCGCTGTGCCGGCCGGGAGGGCTCCGGGGACGGCGCCCCTTGGCCCGGGCCCCCCACGCTGCGGCCGCCGCCTCGCTGGCGCTCCCGGCCCTCCTCGGACGCGTCGGCTGCCAGGTGCGGTCGGGGGTGGCCGGCGGAGCGGGCCCGACCCCCACCCCATCCCCCGCCTTTCCGAGAGGACCCTCTGTGTCCCGGCCCGGAGCCCTGGCGTCGAGGGTCGCGGCGCTGCCGCCCTGGCCCGCGTTTCCGGACACACAAAGGTCTCCTTGTGAGCCGGGGCCTCGGCCGGGCTGCCGCCTCTGCTCCCTGCTCCCCCTTCGGCGCCTTTAGGCTCTTTTTGTTAATTGCTTTTCTGTGTTAATTGCAGGGAGACTGGGGGCGTCGTACGGGGAGCGGGGTGAGGGCCTGGCCCTGGGTTCCCGCGCAGGTCTTGACTGACTCGGTTGCCCCCCACCCATTCCCCGACGCTGGCCCACCGGGCTCGGGAGGAAGCCGCGTGGGAGTTGTCTGAGGAAGTTTTTCCTCTCTCTCTCTTTTATTTTGGGGTGAAGGTGGGAGACGGATTTGATCAGCTTCTTATTTTGGGCCATCCCAACCCACTCAGCTCGGCCAGGGCCTGGGTGCGGTCGGGAGGGGCCGGGAAGGGCCCCTGAGCAGGGGGAAGGGATCAGGACTTGGCTTCCTCCCTCCTGGTCCCGGCCCTGGTCCCACCCCGGGAGGAAACATCTCCAGAAAGAACACACTCTCTCTGTCCTGAGACTGACAGGAATAGTGTGGCCCTAGGCATGGAGGTGACCACGGAGAGTGAAAAATCTGCCCAGGGGCTAAGCCTGACAGGGTCCAGGAGGGAGGAGGAGGCATCCTCTTTCCGGGCCTGGAGTCTTCATCAGAGGCCCGAAGGGGAGAGCGCCTAACAAAAGGAGCCCGGGTATCTGGGGGCTTCCCGCTGCCAACTTCGCCTGCCCTGCCTTCCTTCCCTCCCCTGCCCCACTAGGTCCCCTTGGGGAGGGGCGGCAGCCCTGGCTCTGTTTTAAGCGGGTCATGGGCAGTCCCAGTGCCAGAACCATCATTTGCTTCTGGACCATGGAGGGGTGGGAGGCAGAGGGAGGGAGGAGCAGGCCCAGAGGCTGGGATCCAGGGCCTGCAGAAGAGCCAGAGATTCACCCCAACCCCCTCCAGGACTCCTAGGCCGGTGAAGTGGGCCTAGGAGTGGGAGGGGTTCCTTGTCCTTGACTTTCCCCTAGAGGAATACCTTGCACCACTCAGTTTTCAGGACAAAGCCAGCCGACTCAGTTCTCTGACCCTGCAGAGTTGCTCCCTCTCCAGGCAAATCTGGAGGGAGAGCTGGGGTGGCCCAGGCCTCAAACAGCCGGCCTCCTCCCACCACCTCCAGGGTCCTGCACCAGCTCCGGGACAGCCCTCTCCTCTCCTTGGCCAGTCTGGCACTTGGCCCTTCTCCCACTCAGCCGCAGACACAAGAGTCCTCTCTTCTGTGGTTCCGACCTCATAGTCTCCTCTGTGGTTCTTGCTTTGCTCGGAGCCTAGGCCTGGGAGGAGGAGAGGAATGGGGGCACTTCCTTTCCAGGACTTGTGGCTCTCTCGACTCCAGAGAAGTCCCTTTCTTGACCAAGTCTCCACCTTTCTCTACTGCATATGGGGTGGGGGTTGTGGGAATATTTAGACCTATCCACCTTCTTGAAAGACTCATCAGGAAGAAGGATGTATCCCAGAGCTCCCAGATGTGGATTCGCCCTATCTCTCTGCCACCCTCCCTCCTGTCATCCTGCCCTAGGAGCTTTGCCCCCTGAGAGTTGAGGGGGCCTGACCTCAGTCTTCCAGCTCCAGCAGTGGGCTGCTCCCATCCTTTCCCAAAGCTGAAGCAGCTGCTCCCCCACCACAGGTCATAAACCCGGGATGTGACTACCCTACAGGTGAGGCCAGGGGCAAAGGGAGATTCCTGCATACTTGGGCACAGGCCACAGCAGGCCTCCTGCAGGCACTAGCTGTGGCATCAGTTAGCACAGGTCAGGGCAAGTTTAGAGCTCCCAGGAGAGCAGCCCCAAACGAGCCTCCTGCTCTGATCCCCTCTGGTATAACAGAGGTTAAACTTCGCTCCCTGCCTTCTTCCCCTGAGGAGAGGCTCTCAGAGCGGGTGGTGCTAGGGTTGTTCTGGCCAGGCCTGTTGGCTGGGGAAAGGCTGTGTTGTTTACATCTCGGGCCCTAACTCCCATCATCAGCCGTAGGGGTTCACTTCCCAGAACCATGTTGCAATTCTTGCCCCTGCCGGCTCAGGTCCCCAGTCAGCTGCTCCTGAATCACCCCCAGCCCCAGTGCAAGAGCACTGCACCACCGTCAAGGCCTGGGCCTCGAGGTGAAGGGCCACGTGGAGAGCCATCCTAATGACCTGGAGTAAGGGATGCAGCGCCACTCTGCACTCCAAGCTCCCGCCCTAGGCAACCTGCAGCCTCCTCTGGACTCCTTAAGAAGGCAAAGCTGGAGCAGGGACCAGAGCCGTCCGAGTAGCATCTCCCCATAGGAGGATCTGAGCATGTTCATGTTCCATATAAAACTTGGCTCATTTTACTTTTCAGGCTTTAGGAAAAGACTCCATTTTTCTTACAATAAAGGCTGACTTTTCCCTCAACAGGGCTTTGCAATGTGGGTACCTTTCAATCAAACACCAAAAACCTAACTTTACTTTAAGGCAATATGCCAGCCTTTATATCATGAACAGTTTCACATCATACCTAAAATAAACTACAGTCACCAAAATACTAAGTAAAGTACTAACCCTAATCCTGACCACCATCCCAATCTTCCACTCCCTCTACTGAGAACCTTAAATGGGTCTTTAGGTCCCAAGCCCTAGGTCAGATGCTGCTTGGATGGCGACAGTGGCAGGATCCAGACTCTGTGACTGGATCACATCCGCACCACCTCCAAACGCCCCAGCTTCCCCTATCAGCAGCCAGCCGGAGCCCTAGCTCCTTTTCTGCTCTCCTTTCTGAAAAGATCTCAGCCGTGTATACCCCAGAGGCACAGCATGCCTGTCCCAGGAGAGCCTCATGCCAGGCCCCAAAGCGGAGCCCCTCAGCCTCTCCCCTCTCCATCCACCATGGGCACACCCCAGCCTCAGGTGGGACACGCTGTATTTACAAGAACACCGACACAGAGGAGAAAAGCACTAGAAGGAATCTCAGCTCTGAGAAGACGTCCTAGAACTCAACTAAACCACCAGGGCTCCCATCAAAAGAGTTACAGCCAAAGCCCAGCGCTGTGGTTCCCCACCCCTCCAAGAGGATCAGCCATACTAGGACCCGGGCCAGAGTTTGGGTCCAGCCTGGGAGTTCCTCCAGACCCATTGCCAGAGCCAGGCTGGGAGCTCACTGCCCTTTCCACACCAAGCCAAGGGTGCATTCCAGGTGCCGTGAGGAAACAGGCTCCCCTCGGGCCAGGTGGGGATGCTCCAAGCCACATCCCTTTCCCTACAGGCCTGGCTGCAGCAGTATGGCTACCTGCCCCCTGGGGACCTGCGTACCCACACACAGCGCTCGCCTCAGTCACTCTCAGCTGCCATCGCTGCCATGCAGAGGTTCTACGGTCTGCGAGTGACAGGCAAGGCTGATGCAGACACCATGAAGTAAGTGCTAGACCCTGGCAGGAATTCTGCCCAGCACCCACCGACACAACACTGAGTACCAGAGAGGCTGCCACCTGAATGCCTGATTCCACCCCCATACCTCATCCCCACAAGCTGATCCTGACCCTCTCCTGTTCATCCAGACCTCATGACCTTGTCTCTTCCCCACACTGACCCTGGGGCCGGACATTCCCCCTCTCCTCTGAAGACCTTTCTCTTTCATACGCTCTCCTGACCACAATCCTCACACCCCAGGGCCATGAGGCGCCCCCGCTGTGGCGTTCCAGACAAGTTTGGGGCTGAGATCAAGGCCAATGTTCGAAGGAAGCGCTATGCCATCCAGGGCCTCAAATGGCAGCATAACGAGATCACTTTCTGGTGAGTCCAACAGGCAAGTGGCCTTTCTCACATCAGGTCACCCTTCCCTATCAGTGGTGCTTAGAGACCCTGAGGCTCCCTTCCCTACTCACGCCTGTTCCTGAGAAGCATCCTCGGGGGTAGGGAGGAAAATGGCTCTCATCCTGGAGACGGGTGCAGCCGGTAGAAGGTATATCCCAGGGCCAGAAAGCCCTCAGTTCTTGGGACAGAGGCATCGTGAGGCGGCGGGAAGAGCTGGGTCAGACAAAGGTGGCTGGACGGCTCAGTCAGACCTGGGAGAGTACAGGAAAGGAGTTCTGCCCCTTGTTGTCCTAACGCACTCCCATCCTCTCCCCACGTGGCTGGACCTCAGCATCCAGAACTACACCCCCAAGGTGGGGGAGTATGCCACGTTCGAGGCCATCCGCAAGGCGTTTCGTGTGTGGGAGAGTGCCACGCCGCTGCACTTCCGAGAGGTACCCTACGCCTACATCCGTGAGGGCCACGAGAAGCAGGCCGACATCATGATCTTCTTTGCTGAGGGTTTCCACGGCGACAGCACGCCTTTCGATGGCGAGGGTGGCTTCCTGGCCCATGCCTACTTCCCAGGCCCCAACATCGGAGGGGACACCCACTTTGACTCTGCCGAGCCCTGGACTGTCCGGAATGAGGATCTGAATGGTGAGCGAGGTAGCCCGGGGACTCTTATCCCTGGAAGAGTCAAGAGTCATTTGTATGGGGGTTCTCCAGCTTCCTCCCCAAGCCTCAGACCCCCAAATCTCAGGGCTCTGGGGGACCACAAACATCTCCCGGTCTGACTTCCAATGAAAGCAGGAATCCTGTTTTGAGCTATTTACATCTGGTCCCTTCTCTCGCCCAATAACTGACTTCCCAGTCAAAGACTTCAAAGCATCTGCATCACTCACTTTTCCAGGCAAATGTCATGTCTGGCTCCTGGTAGAAACTGAGGCCCAGATAGGACCTCAGCTTCCCGATCCTTGCTGGGATTTGGATCCGGCCCCAGAACAGTCTCTCGCCTCTACCCAGAAGAGTTGCTGGCTGGATTTTGCCTCTTCTGCCAGCTATGAGGCTGGAACTCAGGATCTGGTCACTTTGGGTGGAAAATTTGGCAGGCGGGCTTCGTTGTGAACCTGAAGATTCTGATGGGAAAGCAGGGAGTCTGAGGGAAGAGACCCAGGCTGCCATCATAACCATCCCCATCCCTCCAGGAAATGACATCTTTCTGGTGGCTGTGCACGAGCTGGGCCACGCCCTGGGGCTTGAGCATTCCAATGACCCCTCGGCCATCATGGCACCCTTTTACCAGTGGATGGACACAGAGAACTTCGTGCTGCCCGATGATGACCGCCGGGGCATCCAGCAACTTTATGGCAAGTAATCTATGCCCACATCTGCTCCTTCCTCTCTGCCCCTTATCCTCTCCTGTTCTCCCTGGCCTGTGCATTTTCCCCTCCCTCATGCCCTACAGTCTCCCGCCGGCCCCCCCACCTGACCCTGCCTCCATCTGCTCCCACTTTTAAAAGACCCCACCTTTTCTGTCCTTGCCCAGCTGATTGCTTCAGCCTCCCGCAAAGGCCCAGCCACACCTCTCCAAAGGTGTTATCTGCCCATATGTCTGTCCTGTCCTCCTACTCTGCCACCAAGTCTGAAGTGCCCCTCCTGTTCTCTGCCCCAGGGAGCGAGTCAGGGTTCCCCACCAAGATGCCCCCTCAACCCAGGACCACCTCCAGGCCCTCTGTCCCTGATAAGCCCAAAAACCCCACCTATGGGCCCAACATCTGTGATGGGAACTTTGACACCGTGGCCATGCTCCGAGGGGAGATGTTTGTCTTCAAGGTGAGAGGGAGAAGTGGGTTGGTGTGGGGGACAAAAGGGCTCCATGACCGGGAGGCTGGGTGGAAACAGCAGCAGGAGGACTAAATCCTAAAACTGAGGCAGTGGGAGAGCTCTGGGGACTGAGCTGGAGGACAAAGCTAAAGATGTAATGAACTGCCTCCCAGGAGCGCTGGTTCTGGCGGGTGAGGAAAAACCAGGTGATGGATGGATACCCCATGCCCATCGGCCAATTCTGGCGGGGCCTGCCCGCATCCATCAACACTGCCTACGAGAGGAAGGATGGCAAGTTTGTCTTCTTCAAAGGTAACCGGACATTCTGCCTTAGTCTTTGGGTGTGGGGAGGGTCGCCCTGGAGGAGCACATTCCACCTGACTCCTCCAAAGACCGTAGAGCCCAGGTGGAATCAGATCCTGCCCTCCCCTCTCCTCCCCAGGAGACAAGCACTGGGTGTTTGACGAAGCTTCCCTGGAGCCTGGCTACCCCAAGCACATTAAGGAACTGGGTCGAGGACTGCCTACCGACAAGATCGACGCTGCTCTCTTCTGGATGCCCAACGGAAAGACCTATTTCTTTCGGGGAAACAAGTAAGGCCTCAATCCCTGGGCCCCAGGCCTCCCTCCTCAGACACCACCACCAGGTTCCCTCAATCCTGGAGGAAGACCTACTTTCCCCCTGAAATGTTTCCCTGGAGAAGAAGCTGGCTGAGCCTGTGCTGTTGCCTAGCAACGGGCAGCCTCCAGTGGGTGCTGAGTGAGTGGGGTATGACCGGGTCACCGTTTCAGACCTGCTCATTTGATGCCTCCTGCCCCCAGCCCTGTGCCACCGCTCCAGCTGCCAGGCACTGTCATTAAGGGCCGCTGGTGGCTCCTTGCAGCCTGGGCCCTCCCTCCCACCCCCACCTTCCACTGCTTTCAGCTGCAGGCCCTCATTACTCAAAACCCCTGTCCCCCCGCCCCCATCCACAGACACCCTTTGCTCACCGGCGAATTCAGTCCCGGGTCCCACTCCCCTCGGAGGACATGCCCAGTGTCCAACCACTTCCCTTCCCTGCCTCTCCCCCAGGTACTACCGTTTCAATGAGGAGCTCAGGGCAGTGGACAGCGAGTACCCCAAAAACATCAAGGTCTGGGAAGGAATCCCTGAGTCTCCCAGAGGGTCATTCATGGGCAGCGATGAAGGTGAGAGGGGCACAGGAGGTGTCTGTGAGGGGAGGACCGGAAGAGGGAGTTAAGAGGGAGCAGGAGGAAAGACGGAGAGGATCGGGTTGAAAATAATGATGAGGAGGACAGGGGAGCCCCTGCCATGTGCCAGGCACTGAGTAAGTGCTTTCCACGCTTCGGACCCCTTAATCCCCACCACTGTCTCAACCTGGTGCTAGAGTTACCTGGTTTGACAGCTGAGGAAACTGATGCTCAGAAAAGAGAAGCGATTACCTCAGCTGGCGCGCACGCTGACTGGATTCTCTCCCGCTCTTCTTCTCTCTTTGCCTCTTCTCCGGACGCTGCCCGCACCTCTCATCTGCAATGCCGCCTTCTTGCTGACCCCTGCAGTCTTCACGTACTTCTACAAGGGGAACAAATACTGGAAATTCAACAACCAGAAGCTGAAGGTCGAGCCTGGCTACCCCAAGTCAGCCCTGCGGGACTGGATGGGCTGCCCGTCGTCGGGGGGCCGGCCGGATGAGGGGACTGAGGAGGAGACGGAGGTGATCATCATCGAGGTGGACGAGGAAGGCAGTGGAGCAGTGAGCGCGGCTGCCGTGGTGCTGCCTGTGCTGCTGCTGCTCCTGGTGCTGGCGGTGGGCCTCGCCGTCTTCTTCTTCCGACGCCACGGGACCCCCAAGCGACTGCTCTATTGCCAGCGCTCCCTGCTGGACAAGGTCTGACCCCCACTGCCGCCCGCCCACTCCTCCCACGAGGACTTTGCCTTTGAAGGCCAGTGGCAGCAGGTGGTGGTGGGTGGGCTGCTCCCGCCGGTCCCGAGCCCCCTCCCCAGCCCCCCCCCACGTCCCTTCTTCTCTGTCCCATGACTGGCCTCTCCCCCCCTCCGCGCTGGCATTGCTTCTTCCCTAGATGGGTCCCCCGGAGGCTGAGCAGGGGCCGGCCTCCCAGCCCCTGCCCCTCAGGGGCCCCCGTGGCTTGGTGTGTGTTCAGCCCCATCTGAATGTCCGGGCTCTGCACTTGAAGGCAGGACCCTCAGACCTCGCTGGTAAAGGTCAAATGGGGTCATCTGCTCCTTTTCCATTCCCTGACATACCTTTAACCTCTGAACTCTGACCTCAGGGGTCTCTGGGCACGCTAGCCCCGCGAGCCCCCGGGGGTACCCAATTGGCAGCCTCCCACCACTCTTTCTGGTTGAAAGAAATCTAATCTTGTTGTGAGGGGGAGACCCTGAGAGAGTGAAGGGGTGAGGGCCACTCAGCTACCCTAAGACCTTGGGAGGAAAGCTCAGAGAGGGTCAGTCCTCTCCACCAAGATCCGCCTCTGCCCCACCTGCCCCCGAGAACTTCCACAGAAGGAGCCTGAGCCATTAAGGACTAACCTGGGGCTGCAGAAACCCTTGACAGCCCTACCCTCCCAAACGTTAGCCTCGGATGGGGATGTCAAGGTTGGAAGAGCTGAGACCAGGGGGTGCAGCTACCGGGGTGGGCCCCAGGAGTCCTGGGGGTGAGCCTGGGGCCCACAGAGAAAGAACCTCACTCAAATGCAGGCAGCTGGGGTAGGGACCCAGGGGCAGAGCAGTCAGAGAGGACAGGACAGGACCAAAAGGCAAACCAGGGAGTTGCAGCAGGAGTGGATGGCGGGGGGCCGGGCAGGCCAGGCCGGCAGGGACGCCACAGGGTGGGCTGTGGTAGCCGGGGGAGGGCACGTTTTATTGGAGCTCTCAGGAAGGGCCCGAGAAAGGCACACCTGCTCCCGTTTGGTGCCCTGGCTTCAATCAGACCGCACGGAGGGGAAGGCGGGGAGCCAGAGAGAGGAGCAGAGAGGGCACGCATGGGGGACTGGCGACCCGGGACCTTGATGAGAGCAGCCACCTAGCTAGGGAGCCGAGGATCAGCCTGCCTCCGCCAGCCTCCGGGAAGGGGCGGGCGCCTGGGCGTTTTGTCAGGTTAGCCCCTCGCTTCCCGACGACCCCCCCCCAGCCCTTCCTACAGGTGTCCTGCCCTCCCCTCCCCACCCAGCCCACCCATTTGAGGTCTCCTTGGGCCGCCGAAGGTGGTCCTGGTACCCGGAGACCTGGGAGAGTGAGAGACCACGTGGGGGCAGTGAGCGGAGAGGGATGTCAGGGGTGGGAGGAGCGCGGTGAACGGTGCTGGCAGTCCGGCTGAAGTTGTCTTGTTTGGGTTTTTTGTTTTGTTTAATGTATATTTTTATTATAATTATTATATATGAATTCCCATCAAATCGTTCCTTTTTGTTAACAAGGGGCATGGGGAGGGGTGGGGGTGGGGCAGAGGCGTCCGACCCCAGGAACCTGCAGGGCGGGGCTGGGTCAGTGCCCTCTAAGGACATTTTCGACCTTGTTCAACCTTTCCACAAAGAATAAACAGTGTTTCACGTTCCTCGTGTGGCTGCAGTTTGTGTGCCTGGGATGTGGCTGTGAGGGGAATGGGAAGCAGGAGGGCCGTGCGGTGTTTTCCGTGAGGCGGGGTTTTGGTATTTTTCATACATAACGGAATATGTTTATTCTCGGTGGGCGAAAAGGATCCAGGGCCCAGATATGGGGAGGAGGGCATACTCCACGGGGGCCGGCGAGTTGTCCGCAGAGCTCAGCCAGCTCCCCTCTCCCAGCCTGGCCTACAAGGCTACCTTTGAGGCCCAGGACTGCAAAGCAAGAGGAAGTGGCCAAGGGGAAGTCACTCGGAAAATCTTCCTAAATTGATCTTCCTAAATTGCGTTACCCTGTCGTGTGATCCAGCCGCAGACCCTCCGTTTGCTCAGGCCTCGCGCAGCTGCTGGGGGATTCCCCCACCACAGTCAGCCTCGGGCTTGGGCGGGAAGCGGGGGACAGGCCCTTCTCCCCAGCCCTCAGGATCTCAGCCTCTCCCAGGCCTGGGGCTCCACTGCAGGGGCAGAAGGAACAGAGGGGAAAGAAAGAGGTTGCCCCGTGGCCAGTTAGGAGCAGCCTATCTCTGGCAAAACAGGGATCTCACCCCAGTTGCCCAGGAGAGGCAGGATGGTCGGGTTGGAAGGGCAGAATGACAGGGCTTTGTTTCCTCTTTCCTTAGAAACTGCTGCCCCAGACAGGGTTCCCAGGCTGTCGACCCACCCTTCCTCCAAACCAGCCTGGAGGGAGCAATCGCTCAGTTGCTGAGTCAGCTCAGCTGAAGGGAGCAGCCCTCTTTCTCCCCTCCTTCCCTTCCTGCCTCAGCCCGGCCCTCGCTCCCTCCCGGCTCCAGCCCAGGCCCCCTCCACGGCCTGCCTCCAAGAGGCCTGGCCCCGCCTAAGCCAGGCGTTTGATGCAGCTGCTAGTCAGGGTTGGCTGGTGTGATTGCTTTGGCAGAAGGGGTACCCCCCCTTCCTGCCAGCCAGGAACCCTGACCTTATGCCTGGCCTCCTGCGCCTCTCCTGCCCAACAGCTGTTTGGCAGGGCCTGTGTGTTTCACTGGAGTTGGACACCACCTCCCCGCCACCCTCACCGGAGGGGATGGGGACCCTGAGAAGTCAGGGGCATCTGGGGGTGGTAGGGCCCGAGCGTGTGGCAAGGAGCTCAGAGATGAGCTCATGGCCCTTTTGTGTTTTTGTGGCCCACATCTGGAGGCAATTACAGATGTTATCCAGTGGGAGTTCTGCAAAACACAGCTGGAGCCAGTGGAGGAGCGTGGGGAGGGGGGACTGCCAGAGGGAAGAGGAGAGGGAGCCTAGGGCTCTGGCGTCTGGAGTGTGGTTTCCCCATCACGAGGAAATTGTTTGGCCCTGATTCTGGAATCACAAGATTCTCTCTGAAGCCAAGGGAGAGAGATGGGAATGGAATGGAGGACCAGAGACAAAGGGGGAAGAGGTGGAAGAGGCTTCACAAGCTGGGAGAATTGCAGGGTGAAGGCTGCAAGGTCCCGTGCTTCTGACGTGCCTTGGGTCTGAGGGATCCAGCCCAGTGAGGCTGCCCCGGGGACCCCACCGGGCCCCAGCTGAGTGAACCACCAGGTCAGGCTGGGTAAGGGGAGAGCAGAAGGCCCCGGGAGACCTGCAAATATTGCTTTCACTGGCCCTACCCTGCTTTGTCCGTTGGGCCCGACCCAGTTTCTATGGTTCCAAGTTCCTTTATTCGAAAGCAGCACATGTGAGTTAGAGCAGCCAGGAGGGAGCCAAGGGGAATCTGCAAGGAGGTTTGGGCAGAACCCAGAGAAGCGGGCTCTCAGGAAATTGGACTATACTCTGCCCATCGCTGCACCCCACACATTTGGGGGATCCATGGACGCCCTTGACATCGACTCCCTTCTCGGGGCTCCTGCCACCAGCTGGGCCCATGCCTGCAAGGCTGCCAGCCAGGTGCTGGGTCCACGGGATGGGAAGGGAGGGGAAGATCTAAGAGGAGCTGGACTCTCTAGAGGAGAGGGGACTGAGCGGAGGGACCCCCACGTACAATCTGGCCAGCTCTGCTGGTCCTTCCCTGTCCTTCTCCCGGGCCCCACTCCCCACAATCTGACAGCCTTCCCAGTCCTTTGTTTACCCTCTGTATTCCCACTTCCCTTTCCAGCTAAGGGGAGGTGGTGGGAAAGCACAAACATTGCCCCATTTTACAGATGCAGAAACTGAGGCCCAGATAAGACTTGCTCAAGCTCACAGCTCAGTAGTCCAAAATTAAAACCCAGGTCTGTCTGACTTTTTTTCCTGTACAGGCAGATTCTGACCATGTCTCTTGAGTGTCTCTTCCATTGTGGACTCCATGTAGCTGGGTGTCTGCATGGCAGTGTGTGTTCTGCGGAATCTGTCAGCATGTGTGTGCTTGCCTGCTGTGCTGTGTCGCAGGAGCGGTAGCACAGGGGAGAAGGGCTCTTCCTCAGGAGTCCTCTTGGCCAGGCCAGGAGTCACCTTCCTTCTTGGGTGCAGGAACAGGTATTCTGAGGGGATGGAGGAGGCATAGGACTCAGAAGCCAGAGGAAGTGAATGGGACAAAGGCAGCAGCTGGGGGAGGGATTCGGGTGGTGAACGTCTGAGGCAGGGGCCTGGCAGGAGGGGGAGGCTTTCAGGGCAGTTCCCATTCCTTAAGGCCCCGGGGAACCCCAGGTGAGGTTGCTCCATTGTTCTGAAGTCCCTGTACCCCCATCCAACCCACCGCCCCAAATCTGAATTCACCTCCTTTAGGAGAGCAACTCCCAACAGTCACCTAGCCTGAGGGTCTCTGCCTTCCTCACTCAGACAGTCTTGGGAGACTGGGGAGACCCAGAGGCAGCCTTCTTCGAGGGGGCTGGGCAGCCAAGGCCTGGAAAGGAGGCAGGCCTGACTGGCCAGAAGCCACCTTCCAAATGAGCTCACACACATACTTTCCACCCTGGCCCAGGGCCGCGGCTGGGTGCCTTCCAGCCAGCCTTCCCCAGCCAGGCCCAGCCCCCTCTGTCCT